CCCCCCCCCCCCCCGGCCCTGGCAAGTTGCAGCTTCACTGGTTTTTATTTACTTTTTGTTTTTTGTTTTTGTTTTTTTTTTAACTAAGCTCTAGGCCAAATGTGGGGCTTGAACTTATGACCCCAAGATCAAGAGTCGCATGCTGTACTGATGAGCCAGCCGAGCGCCCCTCAGCCTCACCAGTTTGACTGCTTTTTTGCTGTTCACCAGATGTCTGGCACCAGCCAGCCGCCCACTGGTTTCAGCTCCTAGTGATAAAAGAAATGGCTATCAGGGAACAGGAAGGAGAGGAAAGAGGGCATCTGAATAAATCATGAGGTACACAATCGTCCCCACAGCTAATGAGGATGAAGCATTCTGTTATTCATTCAACCATCCAGTAACATTTAGTAAACACTTAGTATGTACCCGGCAGTGTGCAGTTTACCGGGGACAGAAACACAAACCTGTTCTGAAGGATCTGACGGTCTGAGAAGGAGACGGTAGGCCTGTGGTGACACCTGCCATGGTGTGAGGCGTCCCAGAACAAATACCACATGTGCTGGAAATCCAGGCAGAGAGTGAGGACAGCTGCGCCGATTCGGGAAGACTGATCCCAGAGACTGGAACCTGGGAGCTGAGTCTCCAAGAGTGAATACACGTTATTGGAAACTCTTCATCTGGGTTTTCACATGAAAAGTACAGTTGTGTTTCCCCTTGATTTTAACTGACAGAAGAAAAACCACTTTGGAAGGGCAGGCAGGATGACCCTGGTAGTTGAGAGAACCACTTATAAATGAAGGTATTTTCACCAGGGGACCACTTAAAAAAAAAAAAAAAAAAAAAAAAAGGATAGTTTTCTTTTTCTATTTCTTGCCACAAAAAGTCCACCAAAACAAATTCATCTTCCCCGAGGGTCTTGCAGTAAGATCCCTGAGGCAATCACCTAGATGATGAAAGATCACCCAACCAAAGAACTACTTCCCTGTAAAACCACAGGCCGTGTCCTTGAAGAAACGTGCTGTCAGGTAAAAGCCAGGTTTGGCAGCAGGGGAAAGAATGAAGCAGATCTGTGTGTATTGACAGAGAAAGAGCTACGTTATTACATGAAAACAGGCAAGTTTCAGGCCCCTGGATATTATTGTTGGGATCTGTGTAGGAATTTCTGGAAGAATAAATGCAAACACAACGGTTATCTCTGAGGTGTGGGATTATGAGGCACTTACAGTTTGAGGCCTGCGTTTTGGTATTATTTTAATTGCTTACAACAGATGTGTGTGCTATTCTGGAATTTAACAATGAAGATTCATTTAGAGCACAGGTCTGGTTTGTTTTACGATGCTTCTTAAAAACGTGTGCTTGGCTCTACATTCCAGAAACATGCAAAGAGAGGATTGCCCAAAATGATACCATTTGCCGACATTTATGGGAAAAAATAAACTGAGACTCAGAAAGATAACTGTGCTGTTTCTCGCACTACGACTCCTAGACCAGTACGGTCAGCTCCACAGTTCTTGAGTCAAGCTGCGGAATAAATGATAAAAATATGTTGATCTCCAACTTAACACATTTTGGAAACTTTAGCACCATTGCTTTGTGGAAAACTGTGTGACTCTTTAGGGTAAAGGCAAATAACTCTTTTTATGAGGTTATCAGAGACTAATCGTGTATTTCTTCAATGACAGGCACTTCCTGGTGACAGATGTGATGTAAGTAAAGAAGACACAGAAATTTACAGGCTAGTAGTATCCCAGAAAAAACAATTCAAATAAAAGTCTCTTGACTATTACCTCTAATTCTGTGTGCAGATCTTAGAATACTCGGTAAAGTCTTTGCATAGATAGATCCCTCCCATTCAATGTATTGATTAATTACTCATGACGTGTTCTAGCACTGGGGGTACAGCAGTGAGTCGACGAGACAAATTCTCTGCACTTGTGGAGCTTATCTGCTAGCGGGGAAAACGCAACAAGCAAAACATACATAAAATGAAGGGTATCATTTCAGGTAAAAGTATAATAAAGCAGGTAAAGTGGTAGTACTATTTTTGAAAGATCAGGAAGACCTTTAAAGGAAGTGATATTTGAGCGAGGGCACGGAGGAGGGAGGGAGGGAGAGAGACTGCAGAGATCTTAGGGAAAGCCTTAGAGGATCCCAGCAAGTCAGGGCCTGAACGGAAATCCTAATTTCTCCTTTTTCTGAAAAGGTAAAGAACATCCCAAAGAACAAGCGCTGGTATGTGAAAGATTCACTTTTGTTACTGTTGTTGTTTTTTTTATCTTTATTTATTTTTGAGAGAGAAAGGGCTAGCAGGGGAGGAGCAGAGAGAGGGGAGACAGGATCAGAAGCAGGCTCTGTGCTGACCGCAGAGAGCCCTATATGGGACTCGAACTCATGAACCGTGAGATCATGACCTGAGCCGAAGTTGGATGCTCAACAGACTGAGCCACCCAGGCGCCCCATGGTTATTGTTTTAATGTTTATAAGGCCTAGTGCTATAAATTTCTCTCTATTGCTTAGAAACTGGAGAATGCATTTTATTCAGGAATCTGTCTACCACAAAGTTACTCTCTTCTCTACAGGCCCCTAGAAGCCTCCTGCCTTATCACAAAGGCACGGAATCCAAGTCCTAAGATTCAAAACTGCTCATTCCACAGAGAGAAATAGGGCCCAGCCCAAAGTGTCTCGGTGAAATGAGCAACATTAAATCCACTCTCACCCCAGGCAGGGAGAGGCCGCCTAGATGGTGAAGCTGGGAGGCTCCCGAATCACGAATCACAAAAGGTCTGGCATTCTCAGCTTTTAGCCCCAGCCCCTTCAGAACCGGTATCTCCCCTATTCACCCAACTTTGGTGGAGACAGAAATGACAGCCTCTGAGTCACCATGGGGAGACTGAGCCTCAGAAAAGTGGATGGCTTGTCCAGGATCACACAAAAAGCCATCTCTAATTCTTACCCTTCACTCTCTAGCCTGAGTCACATTCCAGGCCAGGGACCACATGGGGTGCCCCATTTCAGGAAATGAGGTTGTTGATTTTTCATTTACACAAAAATGAAAAATAAATACCAGATGCTTGAAAACATGTTGCAGCTCATCTTACTGGAACTTTAAAGTGCATTCTGACTGAGAAAATTAAATTCAAAAATCCACACAGCAAAAAAGATGTTTTGAATGAAATGCACTTTGTCTTTCCCTCTCTCACATACACACAGTATCTCATTGTTTCTTTTTCAGGGAGCAGCTGTGAAGGAAATTGGGGGAGGGAGATGGACAAAACATCCCATCTTTGTGTTTCATACAGAACTAAGCTTTTAGGCCAGCCTTCCCGACCCGGAGTGGGTGTGGCATGCGTTAAAATTAAACGTCAGTGACCGAATGAAGCTTATAAAATAGCTTGGGAGAAGCCAGTCAACAAGACCACACATCTTAAATTGGATGAGTTTGCATGTGGAAACTGCCTTCATCTTGACGGAAAAGGTATGTACTGTGGTTTTCATTTTCGCTTTTGTTAAAAAGTGCTTAGAGACAGGCTTGGCTTTTACTTTCCCCCTTTCAGCTAAAAATAGTAACAGCCACGATTGAGGGCTTGTGCCAGTCGCTCTGCAAAATTGGTCTCATTTTTCCTCAGACCACCTTACAAGATAGAACCTCATTAGTGCCATTTTTCAGACGAGGAAACTGAGGTTCAGATATCTATCCTAAGCAATAGGCCAACAAATGGCAGAACTGGGGTGCCAACCCAACGTTGACCTACCTCAATGTCTTGTGCTTGCACTATGCATTCTCTTCTGTGCAAGCAGACGAGAACGTTTTCCATAACCAATACTGTACCAGATGAATTCTCAAGGAGTTGTCGTCCAACTGTGCATTACAGTAAAATTTACCAAAAAGTGAACTGTAATTCATTCTGTGAATCGGAAAACACATTTGACAATATGGCACAAAAATATTTTCTTAAGAAGACATATTTTCTTGTTAGAGTCAATAGCTAAATGGGTTTTTTAGACCGCTTGGCTTGTGGAAATGCATTTTGTTTTATCATGTGAAATCTAAAAATCTAGTCGTCAACGTTCTGCAGCTTTTTGAGAGCAGGTACCTTGCCCACACTAACACGCAGGTGTTGGGAGAGCAGGCTCCTAAGAGACCTGGCGTAAGTTCTGGCTTCACACCTTATCAGGAAGTAACCCCTGGGAAATTAACATCATTGAGTACACAGAGAATGTCATAGCAATAGCTTTCTAGATAGGATGTTATGGAGATCCAGTGTGTGGCACGTGTGAAAAACTGAGACCCGAGCTTCTCCACGGGTAAGTTCACTGAGTATGAGTACTAGCTCATAGAGTCTGTGCTGGCCCAGGGCGGATGCACAATAACCTTGGTAGAATTATTATTAAATAATTTAATATTCAGTTAAAATAATATTTAAATTCTGTTTATTTTTAAAATATTTAAACTCCCCTCATTAAGACAATCTTCCCGTTAGTGTTAGAAGACAGAGCAAAAATATAGGTCACGCCTACCCAAGTTCACAGGTATAAGATAATAATGCGACTTACCTTTGATGCTGGATGGGGTTGAGGCCCAGAGGGAGGGCCTCAGGCTCATCGCCAAGAGGATTCTTGGCTTTGCACAAGAAAGAATTTCAGAGCAAGCCATTTAGAGAAAGGGACAAAGATTTATTAAATATAGAAGAAAGGAGCTTTCTTACAAAGTAGTGGTCTCTCCTCCCAGTTGAGGAAGAGGACATCCCTTTGCCTCTAATAAATGGTTTTATAATTTTTTTTTTAATTTGCTGGCGTGTAGGGAGGGGCTTACTCTTTAATTTTGGGTTTATTGGGGCGCCTGGGTGGCGCAGTCGGTTAAGCGTCCGACTTCAGCCAGGTCACGATCTCGCGGTCCGTGAGTTCGAGCCCCGCGTCGGGCTCTGGGCTGATGGCTCAGAGCCTGGAGCCTGTTTCCAATTCTGTGTCTCCCTCTCTCTCTGCCCCTCCCCCGTTCATGCTCTGTCTCTCTCTGTCCCAAAAATAAATAAATGTTGAAAAAAAAAATTTAATTTTGGGTTTATCATTTTTATTGGGTGGTGAGTTTTTCCATTGTCTGGGGATTATGAAATTACCCACAGGGAGCAATTTTAAGAATATCTGACCTTTGTGGCTTTTAGTGCCGGAGGGAATGGGATCTTGTGGTCTTCAGTGAGTTGGATCTTGTAACTCTTTTTATGACCTGCTGACTGTTAGGTTAAGGGTCAGGCTACAACCAAAATGGCTTTACTTTGGTCAACTTGTCTCCCGAGTCTCCCTTCTCTCCTGCCTCACTCACTGTCAGAAGGTACTCAATAAGTGCTGAGTGAACTAGAACGGACGGGACTTGGAAAAGAAATTATGGATGCCATCAACCCTTCCTATCACAAAAAGTATTAACCATAGGAATAAAACTACTGCAATAAAGAGACATCTTTGGAAGAGATATGTAAGCAAGGCTAAGAATTAGCCTTGCTCTGAAATCCTCCTACACAGCTAAAGCACATGTTTCAGCCCATAATAGAACATTTTGTAATAAGATATTTGTCAGAGTAAGACATGGAACTGACTTTTGGTGTTAACTGTCCCATGGTGAAATGACACTCATCAGGTTACAGAGGTAGGTGTTTACTGAAAGCCACCAAAGGTGGTGCACAGAAGGAAGCATGGCTCAGGGTCACTGCAGGACGGACAGCCACAGACAGTACCTGAGTCCCGGCCCTCTGCCCCTCCTGGCACTCAGCGTGACATCTGTACTCCCAGGGGCTGAGGGGTGGGGTGGAGAAAGGACCTCTTAAGTCCCGCCAGTTTGGGGGACCCTGCAGAATGTGCGTAATGTGTGACCATCCTTTGAGGTAAGATCTTCTGGGCAAGGCACTGAGCTTGAAGCCTACTGAGGCCCAAGAGTAGAGCTGCACGGTTCTAAGAATTTCTTGGAAATGGATACAAATTTTTGTAAGTTTAGACAAATCCATCCATCGTCTCCCAAAAGATTAAAAGACAGGTGTTGTTTACGTGGTGGCAGGAGCTAATGGCAAATGGATTCTCAGAGAAGGTGCGGTCCTACCACAGACTTGGCTTGCTCAGAGGAGGCTCAGCGACCACCCCACCCCCACCATCCCCAGCTGGCAGTTTTACTTGTTATGTAACTGTTCCTTTGAAAATGAGACGATAAAACCTCCAGAAGAAAAGCTATTGATTATTAAAGGTTATTTGGAGGTTTAACCATAATAAAGTGGTTATAATTATTCCTGTTATGACACATCCTTTTAAATGCTCAGATCTGAGAACATTTTGCTTGCGTTGATTCAGTCTTCTTTATTGCGGGAGAAAGGCAAAGAGCTAGAAATAGCTCTTGTGCAGCTACAGGCAAGGAGTCACAAGGAGGAGAATAGACTGAAAGCAAGTCAGGGAAAGAAGCAGGGAAGGGTGCCTGGGCTGAAATGCGTGTTGCCAGCTATTAGTCCTTCTCTAGTTAAATGCATATCTACGTCTCTGTCAATGCACCTTTAAAAGAAGAAAAAAAAAAAAAAAAAAGAAAGAAATGAACATCTCTGAGAAGTATCCCCAACAGAATGCCAAAGAGAAATTCAGGAAGCAGTTATTTGTTTCTGCTTTTCACGATAATAATAACTAGCATTTATTAAGCATTTCCTCTGTGTCAGACTTCACCCTAAATACTCTCTCTATAGTATCTCATTTAATTCTCACCAAACTTGGTGAGGTTGGTATGATTATTACCCCCACTTAATAGACCAGGAAACTAAAGCATAAAATGTACAGTTATACTTAGCATGTGGCAAGGTCTGCATTCAAACACAGTCAGGGTGACCCTGGGGTCCCCAGCACGCCACAGCCTGTCAAGGTTTCAGGCCTACTCCTGGGTTGGTAAGCAGCCCAGCAAGATGGGGCAGGAGTGGGGGGGGTGTAGATCAGGGAGGCACTTCTCTTATGAATCTCATAAGATACTAAACGTGCATGGTTTGTGCTCATTTTTTCTCTTGCATGGTTCACTCGACCGCTTCGACCTCCCCCTCGGCCTATCCCCACCCCACATTGTTTCTGTTCATCAACAAGTATGGACTGTGCCTGACACTGCCAGGTTCTGTGGGCTCCCATCCTTGAAAAATGCATAATGGAGGGGGAGCAGTTGCAAAATAAATCCAACGAGCTCTAACACCAGGCAGAGCGTGCTCTAATGGAGGTACAAAGGTCGGGAGATGCTCCCAGGGGTGGAAGGCCTCACAGCAGGGTCGATGATGACGATTCAGGTGGCTCTGCAGGGTGACCGTTCAAAAGGGCTCAGGGGAAGGTCCCCAGAGAGGTCCCCAGAAATGTTCCCCTGGTGACTGCGTGTCCTCAGGGGGCTCAGAACAACTCTAGCTTCTTTGTTTCTCCTGACCCCAGGTTCCATCCAGGGCCCCAAGATGATGACGGCGCTGCTGCTCTTTTCTGCTCTGGCCAGCCTCTTCAGTGCCGCAGACGGACAAGCCTTTCACCTTGGGAAATGCCCGACTCCTCCGGTGCAAGAGAATTTTGACGTGCACAAGGTGTGGCAAAAGTCTCAACTCCCGTTTGTTTTGCCCCCCATTTGAATAAGCATCCTCTAGGATTCAGTGTTAGTTTTCTGCTTTGATTGCCACAGCAAGCCTTGGGGTAGGTACTTATCTTACTGGGGCATCCCCCAAAGCAGGCTCTGAGACCAAGAACTGGGGAGCAGAGGGTTTTGGGAAGCTGATCCCAGGAAGCACTGTGGGCATGTAGGGAAACTGAGAGAAGGCAGAACGGCAATAAAAGATGGCGTTCCTGAACAGTAACACTGTTACCAGAAGGGTTCAGTCCTGCTGGGAATCCTCTGAGGAAATGTGTAGAATGTTCCTCAGATCGTCCCACGGAAACGATTTTCCAAAAGCGCTGCATGCACTATTGTACGTTCCCATCAGCCGTGTATATAATACCAATTTCTCCTTACCTTTGTCGACACTTGCTATTGTCATCTTTTTGGCTGTAATCATTTTTACAGGGTATGAAGGGTATCTCATTGTGGTTTTGATTTGCATTTCCCTAATGGTTAATGATGTTTGAACACCTTTTCATGTGTTTATTGTCCATTTTTATATCTTCTTTGGAGAAATGTCCATTTGAGTCCTTTCCCCATTTTTAAGTTGGGTTACTTATCTTTTTAATTATTGAGCTCTGAGAGTTCTTTATATGTTCTAGATACAAGTCTCTTATCAGATACATGATTTGAAAATATTTCCCCCCATTCTGTGGATTGCTTTTTCACTTTATTAATGTGTCTTTTCAAGCGCATAAGTTTCCAATATTAACGGAGTCCAATTTATCTATTTTTCTCCTTTCTTGCTTATACTTTTGGTATCTAAAACACCATTGCCTAATGCAAGGTTATGATTTTTATTTCTGTATTTTCTTATAAGAGATTTATAGTTTTAATCCTTACATTTAATTTCATGATCCATTTTGAGTTAAACTTTTTATATAGTGTGATATAGAAGTCCAACTTTATTGGGGCGCCTGGGTGGCTCAGTCGGTTAAGCCTCCGACTTCAGCGCAGGTCACGATCTCGCGGTCCGTGGGTTCGAGCCCCGCATCGGGCTCTGGGCTGATGGCTCAGAGCCTGGAGCCTGCTTCCGATTCTGTGTCTCCCTCTCTCTCTGCCCCTCCCCCGTTCATGCTCTGCCTCTCTCTGTCTCAAAAATAAATAAACGTTAAAAAAAAATAATTAAAAAAATTAAAAAAAAAAAAAAAAAGAAGTCCAACTTTATTATTTTGCCAGTGGATATTCAGTTGCCCAGAACTATTTGCTGAGAAGACTATTCTTTCCCCATCGAACAGTCTTGGCATCCTTGTTGAAAATCAATTGGACATTTATGTAACAGCTTATTTTTAGACTCTCAATTCTATTTTATTGTTTTATGTGTCTATCTTTATGCCAGTGCTATACAGTATTGATTACTATAGCTTTGTAGTAAGTTTTGAAATTAGAATATATGACGCCTCCAACTGTATTCTTCTGGCTATTCTAAGTCCTTCGCATTTCCATATGAATTTTAGGATCTGTTTGTCAATTTAGTGAAGATGCAGAGTTTCGTTTTGTGTTGTTGTTGTTGTTGTTGTTGTTGTTGTTTTAATAGAGAATGCATTGAATCTAGATCTATCTGGAGAATATTGTCATCTTAACAATTTTAAGCCTCCCAATCCCTGAACATAGGTTATCTTTCCATTTAATTTCTTGTTTATTTAGGTCTTATTAAATTTCTTTCAACAATATTTCATAGTTTTCAGAGTATAAGTTTTGTGTTTCTTTGGTTAAATACTTATTCCTAAGTATTTTATTCTTTTGATGCTATTGTAAATGGAATTTTCATAATTTACAGAGTGTTCATTTTAAGTGTAGAAAGCTATTTGGTGTCTGTATATTGATCTTGTATCCCTTAACCTTGCTAGCTTCATTTATTAGTTCTAATAGTTTGTGTGTGTGTGTGGATTCCTTAGGATTTTTTATACACAAAATCATGTATCTGGAAATAGAGATAGTTTTACCTCTTCCTTTACAGGATTCATTTTTTTTTATTTTATTTTTTATTTTTTAAAATTTACGGGGTGCCTGGGTGGCTCAGACAGTTAAACATCCAACTTCAGCTCAGGTCATGACCTCACAGTCTGTGAGTTTGAGCCCCGCGTCGGGCTCTGTGCTGACAGCTCGGAGCCTGGAGCCTGCTTCGGATTCTGTGTCTCCCTCTCTCTCTCTGCCCCTCCCGTGCTCATGCTCTGTCTCTCTCTGTCTCAAAAATAAATAAAAACATTTTTAAAAATTTACATCCAAATTAGTTAGCATATAGTGCAACAATGATTTCAGGAGTAGATTCCTTAATGCCCCTTACCCATTTAGCCCATCCCCCCTCCCACAACCCCTCCAGTAACCCTCAGTTTGTTCTCCATATTTATGAGTCTCCTGTTTTGTCCCCCTCCCTGTTTTTATATTATTTTTGTTTCCCTTCCCTTATGGTCATTTGTTTTGTCTCTTAAAGTCCTCATATGAGTGAAGTCATAGGATTTTTGTCTTTCTCTGACTAATTTCACTTAGCATAATACCCTCGAGTTCCATCCACGTAGTTGCAAATGGCAAGATTTCATTCTTTTTGATTGCTGAGTAATACTCCATTGTATGTATATATAGCACATCTTCTTTATCCATTCATCCATCGATGGACATTTGGGCTCTTTCCATACTTTGGCTATTGTTGATAGTGCTGCTATAAACATGGGGGTACATGTGTCCCTTCGAAACAGCACACCTGTATCCCGTGGATAAATGCCTAGTAGTGCAATTGCTGGGTCGTAGAGTAGTTCTATTTTTAGTTTTTTGAGGAACCTCCATACTGTTTTCCAGAGTGGCTGCACCAGCTTGCATTCCCATACAGGATTCATTTTAAACATTGCATTCTTCTTACATGGATAGAGAAACTGGGACCCACAAACGTGAAAAGGTTTTCACAAAAATATCGTGAAATTATAAGGGAGCGTGACATAAAAAGCAATCTGCCACCTTTCAGTTTCCCCTTTTCTAGAAAATCATGCTTCCTCAGTTTTAATTATGGAGCACTGAAGTCACCTTAACAATAATAGAACCATTTTAAATGCTCTGTATAAAATGGAGTGTGTTTTTGAGAATGCCTATGAAACCAACTGACCTTTAACCGTATTTTTTTGGTGCTTTCAATGAATGTTAATTTCAGTGGTTTTAATTGAAAGATGTGCCTTTAATAAGTGAGTGGAAATTTTAGGTCATAAACGTGGGTATATATTTGAGCAAAGAGCCATGTGACCGAAGCCGTACTGCCACCTGTTTGCAGTACTCTCATTTCCAATTCTCACTTTTTGAAGGTGAGTGCGTCTCTGATTTTCTTTTGTTGAGTAATACATTTTTAAATTTAAAAATACTTTCAATTAATATTTTGACTAAGTAAATATGGTCACATGGATCAAAATCCTAAAGGTGCCAGAGAACATACAATGAAGCTCTTCTCCTACCCCTTTTCCCCTCCTACCTCAGTTTCCTTCCCCAGTAGCAACCAGTAAAATCATTTAATTGTGTATCTTTTGGGAGCGAATGTATATGTTCACGAATACATACATAACTGCGGTAGGCAGAACGATGCCCTCACCCTAATGCCTGCAACCTGTGACTGTGCCACCGTACATGGAAAGGCGGGTTTGCTGATGTGATTAAAGTTATAGACTTGGAGATGGCAGGCATGGCCTGGGTTATCCAGAAAGGACCAATCTAATCATTGAAAGCAGAGAACCTTCCCCAACTGTAGTCAGAGAGGTGTGACAATGGAACAAGAATCAGAGAGATGCAATGTGAAAAGACTTTCACCTGCATTTGCTGGCTCTGAAGATGGAGGAAGGAGTTCACAACCCAAAAAATGCGGGTGGCGTCAACAACTCGGACAAGGCAAGAAGACAGAGTCCTCTAGAGCCTGTAGGAAGGAACACAGCCCTGCCAACACCTTGATTTTAACCAAACTCACTCGATGTACAGACCTGTGAGACCATAAATTTGGGTTGTTTTAGGCTTCTGGTAAATTGTTACAGCAGCAATAGAAAATGAATATAATAATATTTCCCCCCATTTTTACAAATACACTATTTTTCACCTAGCTCTTTTTCCATTGTATGTATCTTGGAGATAATTGCATAGGACTCCTTAAAATTTTTTTTAATGTTTATTTATTTTTGAGAGACTGAGAGAGAGAGAGAGAGAGACCAAGCATGAGCTGGGAAGGGGCAGAGAGAGAGGGAGACACAGAATCCGAAGTAGGCTCCAGGCTCCAGGCTGACAGCACAGAGCCCACAAACCGTGAGATCATGACCTGAGGCGAAGTCCAACACTCAACCGACAGAGCCACCCAGGCGCCCCGCATATGACTCCTTTAAAAGAGGGTGTATAACATTCCATTATATGGATGTGCCATAATTTATTTACCTAGTCCCCTACAAATGCTCAGACTCTAGTTTCCCGTATTTTGTTCTTACAATAGTACCACAACAAATAACCTCACATATGCATCATTTCTTCTTATTATTATCCGGAGGTTACATTTCCAGAAGTGAAATTGCTTTGCTAGATATTGCCAAATTGCCCTCCACGAAGGTTGTAAATTGGAGCAATCTCCATGCAAGGTGACGCATGGAACGGTGAACATACCTTTCTCCCCCTCCCCCACAACAATGCGCACTTCTTTAGAGTTGACTCTGTACACGAAGTTATGAACTGAGACCATACCCCCTGTGGTATCAGTCTTCTAAGTCCTGATCACCTGCCAAAAGCTTTTGTGTCCACCTCCCTGTGCGAGGTCTTATGAGGAGAATGCAACCAACTCTGGAGTCCCAGTTCCCCACAGTGAAAATATCTGACTTGCACACAACTCAAAGATGCCTCGTAGAATCACAAAATGTCTGAGATGGCACCTTCCATCATCTGGACTGCTCGCTCTCTTTCACAGAGTTTAGAATTTCACATAGATTTTGGCTGGAGGGGCCACTGACAGCATATCTAAATAAAGAGCACTTTAGGAATAAAATGTGGCATTCAACCAATGCCTGCACATCCGATTCACTTACTCTCATTTGAATCAATATCTTGCTCAGTTGCTGTCAGAACAATGCAGCCCATTTTGCTTGGTTTCCCCAGGAAAGGGCTCTGCTCTAAAAGGCAACAATAGGGAAGAGTTTGCAGGTCCCCAGAGAGCCATGGGGTTTTCTCTGCTTCTTGTTACCTCTGCAGTATCTTGGACGATGGTATGAAATTGAGAAGATCCCAGTGAGCTTTGAGAAGGGAAGTTGCATCCAAGCCAACTACTCGCTAATGGAAAACGGAAACATCAAAGTGATAAACCAGGAGTTGAGGTGAGTGGCTGTGGTTTCAAAAGCAACACAGTCCTGGAGCCAGCCTGCAGAGACTTGTCCTGGGGCGACTGGGTGTCCTTGCGATCTCGTTGAGGGGGGTGGTGCAGATGTTGCTGGGTCTGCCCTGCCTGCTCACAGCAGGTCCTAAGATGAAAGTTTTTGGCAAGCAGAATGGTGGGGACGAGAAGCCACTCATTTATTTCCATGACCACTTGCTGAGCATCTTTTTGTATTGTGGACTCCCTTGAGTGTTGTGTACTTATTATATGTGTGCTCCCTGTGAGAGGCACTAGGAACTCAATGGGAATCCAAACTGCAGGGTTCCTGCTCTCATAGCAAAATAGATACTCTGGTAGCAAAGGACGAGGGGGAGGGGGCACAAGGGGGGTGGGGAGGGGGACCATCTCATCTGATCTCCAAACTAAGAACGAAGCCCTTTCTATATTATCTACTAACAGAAGACATCCAGCTCTACCTGACTCCTTCCGGGAACTGGGAGCTCATTGCCTTCCGTGACAATTTATTTCATCTCCAGACAGCTTTAACTATTAGAAAACTCCTTTTCTTGTTAAGCAAGAATCAAATACATGGTCACGTTCTAGGTTATGGGAACAGGATCGCCTATAGAAGTATACTTTTCTGATACTGAAATACAGATTTCTATTTGATATGAGAATTCATACTTTAGAAAGCAAACAGAAACTTTAAAAAGCCACAGAAAGAGCTCCTACCAACCTTCTATCAACAAAGATAAGAGCAACAATAAACAATAGTAACAAATGCTAAGTATTTCCTAAATGCAAGGCACTGTTCTGTATGTGTATGTATATATACATATACATGTGTGTACATATATGTATATATGTAAATGAATATATATGTTTATTTAATGCCCATAACAACCCTGAGGTAGGTACTATTATCAACCCCACAGTTATAGATGAGGAAACTGAGGTACAGAGAGGGAAAGTAATTTGCCCAAGGGCCACACAGCTTGTAAGCAACAAAGCTAAGATTCAAACCCAGGGAGAAGTGAAATGGGGAAGAGAACAGAAGACAAATGGAAGAAAGGCTGGGGTGAAGGGCTGTCCTTCTTGTTCCCTACAGGACCTGAGAACTGTGCTCAAGTCCCAGAAAACAATTATAACCCAGCATGGAAGTTACTCAGGCTCCGAGAGGCTTTGTGTGGCCATCTTGTTATCCACTAAGCTTTCTGTGAGCCAGAGAACATAAGTGGGTTGACTCCCTGCCTTCATAAACCATAGAAATAAAGTTAAGAATCTCAAGGGCCTCTAAAGATAAAAACAGATTATTTTAGAGCCCAGAGAAGGATTGAGATGCAGACCTCCATCTAAAGTTGCAATGACTTCATTTCAAATATTTTGTCCCATTCTATGACCAAGAGTCAGACAGTGACGTTGATCTCAAAACCCACGAGATTTTTCCACCTCTCCTTCGGAGCCGGCCAGGAGTCCTCTTTAACTGTATCTTGAGTATTAGGTTGCTCTGCCTGTAGGGTCACGTTTGTTTAAGATACAAGGGCACATGGAGAAAGGTTTGCTGGTTCAGGAGCGTGGTATGGCTTCTCCCTTCAGGAATACTACAGGATGGGCAGAGGCACAGCACGGAGTCTGAGCAAAGTACTCTTAGCCAGTGTCAGAGAATTTGAGGGCAAAAGCAGCTGGCACGGGGCTGGGAGCCGAAGGGCTCAGGCTTTGGAGTTAGGCTGCCCCATTTCAAATCCTGGTTCTGCCAGTTACTAATGATGTGATCTTAGGTTAGTTATGCTAATACTCTAGGTCTCAGTTTCCTCTCAGTAAAGTGACATTAATCATAGAACCTCCCTGCATAGGGCTTTGTGAGCGTCAGATGAGGTAACACATGTAAATTGCTTAGAACAGGGTGTAACAGGGTGTTTGGTGAGTAGTAATTATTTAATTAATACTATGTATTACTATTAATCTGCTGAGACCCTTGAAAATACAAATGTATTTTTCCCATGAACAAATTGTGCATTTACGATCAGAGACTGGTGTTTTGAAAACTGTTCTGGCCAAAACATAAATGATGATGAAAAGCAGGAAAGTCTGCCGAGAAGAGGCTGGTTTGTTGCTAAGCAACTGCATGCAGATAGAAATGGACCATCTTCCTGTTCTCCCAGCTGAGTTTCAGGTGACAGAGGAAGGGATGGTTCCCAGCCCTACTTGATGATAAACAGACTATGCATCCAGGATACATTTCTCATCCTTCCTTACCTGTTGCTTATTATCTGGTTTCTGGGACATCTGTCACCACTAACCATAGCCTACTGACTTTCTAACACACACTGTTGCTCTAACTTTTGTTCTGTGCCCCCTTGAGGACTGATGAACAGGCTCCTCCTCTGTCAGCTTCCTAGGAAGAGCACTGTGATATGTGAGCGCCCTCCCCTCAGTGCCTCCATCCCCAGGCATTTCCCCTCTCCCCCAGGTCCACAGAGTCATTGGGAGTTGCCAAAACCTGGAGCCACTCTTTCAAAAGAGTGAAAGTATTTCATCCAATCGAAGACCATCACTTTTAAGATACACTACCATTTTATATACCACTAAGAAAGAAATGACACTGCGAATTGTAAGGTGGCATTTGTTGCAAGATGTGCATTTCTGCACATTTAATGTCTCTGAGAATCACTGAGATGAGGTTAATATTTCCTCACTGCCTGCTTTTACCTGGCCTATGTTGAAATCTCCCATACTCAGTCAGAAGCTTGCAGGCCTGGATAGGGGTCTCAGAGCTCAGGTGTATGGATGGCTTTATGGGTCAGATGATGTCATATGATGTCACTGAGGCCCCAAGGGCAAGGAAAGCGTGCAGATCTCCAGACTTTGAGTAATCATGTCAGTCCTTGTTTTTCCCTTTGGCCCATTCTCATTTTTAAAGAAGTAAATCTTCTTGGTGTATAGGGTTGTTTTGTTTGTGTTCCCTTCTCTTTTACTCCCTCCCTCTGCAGCCTGAGAGCAGGAAATGGCCTTGTAGGACTCAAAACACAGCACAGAAATGTTAGGGCCTAACATATCATCCAGTCCTGGAGCATTTCAGTTATTGCTTCTTATCACCCAGGGCCATCTTCCTCCGCTTGGTCTCAGAGACAGTGACAAAGGAAAGAGCCTCCCTAACCAGAAATCACAATCTTGGCCACCCTGATGCTTAGTGGCCTTTCATTGATTTTTGGCTTCCATTGAATTAAGACGTTTTGTTTTGTTTTGTTTTGTTTTGTTTTGTTTGTTTTGTTTTAACTCGTTGCAGACCGGATGGAACTGTGAATCAAATTGAAGGTGAAGCCACCCAGGCCAACCTCACAGAGCCTGCCAAGCTGGGAGTTAAGTTTTTCTGGTGTAAGTATTCACTTCTCTCAGGAGGTTTCAGGGATAGGAGATATGCAAACCAAAGGCTAGAGCCCTGGGTTGAAACACTCCTGTCACATCTGAGTGTCACCTATAGTGTCACCTATAGTGACTCAATGCATAATACTTTGTTGAGCACCTACTATGTGCCATGCTTGGGTCTAGGCACCAAAGATGTGATGATGAGCAAGACAGAGCTGGCCCTTGGCCCTGAGAGGCTTATATCCCATGTGGATACTGACAAGTATGCAGGCAAGTTACTGTAAAACTACCGTGTTTCAATAAAGGCAGCACAAATTGTAGCACCCGGGGAGAGCAGTAGGGCACCAGCCTAGACTAGTTTCCCAGAGGGAATGGAGGCCTGAAATATTAGTAGCCAGTAGTAGTTAGTTGTTAGTAGTGGTATTATCAGCAGAACAATTCACATGTGCAAAGGCTTGGACACAAGAGATGACAAGAGTGAAGGTAAGTTTGAGCCCTGGCTCTATCTGCCACTTTCTCACCACACTTTAGGGTTCCCTGAGAGATGTTTGATCACGAGCATTTGTCCTCTGAGCTCTGGCTTAACTGGGGAAAGGACACAGACAACAGAGAAAGCACCAAATTTTTAGTTTACTGTTGATATAGGTACACGGCAGAAGCCCGCTCAGAAATGTGAGACTTTCTTTTACCGAGAGTGCTTCAGGGCCCCTCTCCCCACCCAAGGGGCAGACACCGCAGTCACAGCGGTAAGAAGAATCACTGTCCCCCAGCCCGCTCCCCCTTCAAGTCCCTAGAGTAGGGCAGTGAGGAAGTTCTTATTTTATAGACCAACATAGGAATGCTGGGAGATGAAAATAATTCTTCCCGCACATGTGACCATGGGCAACTAACTTCACTTTTGCGCCCAGTATTCTAAGGGTAAATGAGATAGCACATGCTCTGTAAACTGTAAGGGACTTTGTGCATCTCAGCCTTTCTTGTTATTTTTACAAAGAAGAACGTCAAAGTGCAGAAAAGCTAGGTGATATAGGCAAGGTCGCTAGACCATTTAGAGGCAGAGTTGGGACCAAAACGAAGGTCTCCCAAACTCTCCACTGAGGAAGGGGGGATGGAAGTGAAGGCCAAATACTATGTGCACGACCTTCACAAGGAGGCCTGTAACAGGAGCTAAAGGAGGCAGGAGCTGCTGGCAGAGGAAACAGAGGAGGAAGAGATTCACTCTGGTTGAAGGGATCAGGTGTTTGCATTGGGTCTTCCAGGGTGTGGAGGAGACTACGGGAAAGGCTTTCCCAGGAGGAGGAATGGCTTGAGGAAAGGTCTGGAGAGAGAAGCCTAGAGGATGGGCGGGTACATGGAGCACAAGACAAGACTGGGAAGAGCCTCAAAAGCCATGTAATGGGTTGACGTGCCTTCCATAAGCAGTAGGAAACGGTCAGAGTTTTCAGATAATAAAGAGATGTGGAAGTTTTCTTTGCTATGAGGAAATGTCTGGGTAAATGTATGCTTGAGAGCTAGACCCTGTGGGAGGAAGACGGCGTGTGAATGTGTGGCTCTGTGCAGGCGGGGCGCGTCGCCTTGGCAGGAAGAGGTTGGAAGACATATTTCCCCCAAACCACTCAGGGTTGCAGAGTTCCCAGTCCAGCTGGGAACACACAAAGCAGTGGAAATTCAAAGGTCGCAGATCTGTGATGAATACAAGCTCTCAATAGTGAGCCCGGCAGGCAGGCACCAATGGTGCTAGAAAGGTAAGTCAGGGCCCACTCAGTGTGGGCCCTGTAGCCTTGTGCAGGCTTCTGTCCAGATGTCCTCCAACTGTCCTTCTGTTTTCATATTTATAAACAGGTAGAAAGTCAGAGGTAGGAGGGACCTCAGTGGGTGGTCATCTGGACTAGCCCTCTTGTGTTGTCCTGATAACCAGCTGGGTCCCTGACACCCAGCCAAGTTCTAATCTCTTACACCCTGCCTCTTTTGTCCAGCTTCTCATGGTCATTCACGAGTGCTGAGATCTGGTTTGACTTAGCAAAGAGAGGGATGATTTTTGAGTGGAGGAGGTGGGTTGCTTGAAACCCAAGAAAGCAGATTGTGTCCAAATCTTTTGTTCTTATGGGGTCAGTTCACAGCTTTCTCCCATTTGGGCCCATTTTCCACTTAACTTTAACAAGTTGGGCTATGACATTTCCTTGGCTTGGACCTTGGCTGTGGAGGTCAAGTTCACAGAGGAAGTCTCTGGATTCAAACGGAGAAGGTAAATCCTCCCTCTCTTGTTGTAAGGACCCTTTAAGGCTAAGCTTTCAACACTGTGCAGACCTCTGTCAATGAATCTTCATGGGCCCCTTGTGAGGAGGAGTTTATAACCTGTTACCACCTGATTTACCATATTCTTGAGAGCAAAAGAACTTTCGAAGGTCATACAGAAAGAAAATAAACACACCAACATTAGCCCTTACTTCCTTTCTCAGACAGGTTCTAGAGGAAATTGGGAAGTACAGACTTGGAAAGCCTGGGGGCCCCTGACCTTGCCATCTTAACTCCACTTAGCTAAGTGGTGCCTCCATACGTACTGGTGCTAAGTGCAGCCTGTTAGTCTAAGAGGTCTGGCAAAACACTCCATTACTGTGGCTTTCTGCAGACTGATGTGTTATCAGGGAAGAAGGATCCAGAAGGATGGCTCTAAGCTTTGGCTGCACATTAGAATCATGGGGGAGCCTTCAAGAGTACCAACCACCTCCACATCAGTCTGGAGAAACATGGCCTAGTATTTGTCAAAGTTCCCATAAGATTCCCACATAAAGCCAGAATTAAGAACCACTACTCTTGGGGTGCCTGGGTGGCCCAGTTGGTTAAGTGTCCGGCTTCAGCTCAGGTCATGATCTCACGGTTCATGGGTTGGAGTCCCATATCGGGCTCTGTACTGAGAGCTCAGAGCATGGAACTTGCTTCAGATTCTGTCTCCCTCTCTCTGCCCCGCTCTTGCTTACTCTCTTTGTCTCTCTCTCTCAAAAATAAATAAACATTTAAAAAAAAAAATTGGGGGGACGCCCGGGTGGCTTAGTCGGTTGAGCGTCCGACTTCGGCCCAGGTCATGATCTCACAGTTTGTGAGTTCGAGCCCCATGTCAGGCTCTGTGCTGACAGCCCAGAGCCTGGAGCCTGCTTCAGATTCTATGTCTCCCTCTCTGTCTGCTCCACCCCCACTCATGCTCTGTCTCTCTCTGTCTTCAAAATAAATAAAACATTAAAAAAAAATTTTTTTTTAATTTTTTTTAAGTTCTACTACAGTAGAAGAACTAGGATCCTGGCTTCCAGGGTCCCGGAGATGAAGGTTCCTCTTGTCCTGGTCCCTCTTAATACTGCTCTCCTCTGGTTCTCAGTGATGCCATCTGCTCCATACTGGGTCCTGGCCACCGACTATGAGAACTACGCCCTCGTGTACTCCTGTACCACAATCGTCTGGCTTTTTCACATGGATCATGTTTGGATCTTGGGAAGAAACCCTTATCTCCCTCCAGAAACAGTGACCTATCTAAAAGATATCTTGACTTCTAATGAAATTGACATAGAAAAAATGACTATCACAGATCAGGTGAACTGCCCTGAGCCACTGTAAGAGGCTCTAAAGGGAACCTGCCTTCACTCAATGTTACTTCTTTTGCTTTGCTTCCCCCCACCCCACCCTTCATAAAGACAAACCAACCACAGCAACATTGCAAACACCAGAGGGGAAATTTGAAAGCAGAAGCCTGTGGAGAGAAAGTCAAGGAACGCTGGCCCAAACACTTAGCCATGTACCATGTTACCTTGCCAGTCTAATAATAAACTTGTTGCTGACCTGCTGTGCTCACAGTAGATTCTGAATTGATTATTGTGGGTTTTCAATTATATGCTTATGTTTGGAGATCCATGAACAGTTCTGTTGAAAGAAACAAAGCACTGTACAGTTTAAGTTTAAAGAGAACAATCCTGTTTCTGGAAAGAGAAAGCAGACCGCAAAGGCCTATTATGGGTGACCTGAGTCCAGGTGCCACATCCTACAGTAGACACTCTTTTTTTTTTTTTTTTTTAACATTTATTCATTCCTGAGAGAGAGAGAGAAAGAGAGACAGAACATGAGCGGGGGAGGGGCAGAGAGAGAGGGAGACACAGAATCTGAAGCAGGCTCCAGGCTCTGAGCTGTCAGCACAGAGCCTGATGCGGGGCTCGAACTCACAGACCATCGCCCACGAGATCATGACCTGAGCTGAAGTCAGACGCTTAACCGACTGAGCCACCCAGGTGCCACCAGTAGGCACTCCTTTTGGGGGAATCATCTGGGTTTTCTGAGTCTCTGACAGGCAGTTTCTCTGAAGTATTTACTTTCTCATCAGGAGGTCTTCAGAGTCAGGCTAAAGAGTGGGACCATCTTGGTGTCTGTGCAGGAGAGAATCTATAAGGGAGAAGGCTATGGAGATTTTTTTGTTTTTTAGAAAATCAACTTTTTTTGGGTCTCTCATTCAATGGATATTTACCGAGGCCCAACTGCATTCTGGGCATTGAAAAATCTAGAACCCTGTCATCCTGTGGAAGCTTACAGTCTAGCAAAGGAGACTGACAAGTAAAGATGCAAGTATAATCCAAGCTGAGGAGTGCAGCCCCACCTCTGGGTGTTCCAACTTCGGACAATCAGGAACCACCTTGAGTTGTTGTTTTGTTGTTGTTGTTGCTGTTTTTGGTTTTTTGGGTTTTTGGGTTTTTTTTTTTTTTTTTGCATTATGACTTTTAAAAGCGGAAAGACCTCAGAATTATCACCCTGCAGTTTCACTTAGTTCACATGGCATTTATAATCTACGAAGGCTTTGGGTAAGGACTCCGAAATTAAGCCATTTGATTAGATTTTGGCTTTTTCAGCATGATCATAAAGTATGAGTTTCCTTGAGCATGTGAGACTCCTTAATGTTTTAACGGTTACAAAAATCCCAAGGATCTCAATATGTACAATTTTCCTTTTGTTACATAAATGCGACCTCAAATTGTAGCTTCCGGTTCTGAAAACTACCTGGCAGAAAGGCAGGAAGGGGGCGGTAGGTACCAAAGCCGATCCTGTCTCCCAGCTTTGCCTGCTCTTGAGCCCTGTGCTATATCACGCTCCTCTTGCTGGCTCCTCTTCTCAAATACGGTTACTCCCAAGAGTGTTAAGCTGCCCGTCTTTCAGCTCATGGTACAAAATAAGTTATGACTGCATTCCTCTTAACAGCAGAGGCACATCAAAGACCATGAAGGTGACTACAGTTTGTCCCTTTTACAGTGTCTTGCCCAACACATAGACTCAGAGTGTGTATGTGAATGAAGTACTGACTGAATGTGTAGATGGACGGGCTTGAGTTTTCCAGTCAAGGAAAAGGAAACCATGAAGCAGGTATCAGGGGTGACTAAACCTGACAAAAACTTTTGGGAATCCAGAGGGAAGCATGTGGGCACCAAGTAACTTGAGGAAACCTGGGGGAAAGAGCAAAAAATTCAGAAGGTAGAGGAAGAGAAGAGAAGTCAGATAATCAGCAAAACAGAGACAATAGTAGAGAGTAAATCCCCACATACCCACTGTCAGCTCTAACAGTCATCAACATGTCACCAGTTTCGCTTCGGCTATCACCGGTGCCCCCCAATATTTTTCCTAGGGTGTTTGAAGCAAACCCCAGATACCACATCCTCTTAATTTGCCCATAACTACCTATGTATAAGTCTCTAGTAAATACAGGTACTTTTCTTTTTTTTTTTTTTTTTTTTTTCATTTTTTTCAGGTACTTTTTGAACAAAAAAACATAAGGTTATGTTCTATATCCTGAAGGTGCCCAGAAAATGTAATTTCTAGGTAATTGAAAGATTTTTTGATACAATCCAGATGAAAGGGAAGAAGCATGCACAATAATGTTCGTCATCGTTTTACTTGTAGCAGTCCCCAAACCGAAAGGAGCTCAATTAAGGCTAATACTAAGAGGAAATGGGATCGTAAATGGCAGAACAGAATTAATGTTGTATGTTCATTAAAGTTGGTAGTTATGAAGGCTAGGCAGCCACACGAGAGCTGCTACCTGTCCACCCACACGCTCTGCTTGAGGGTGGGGGCACCTGCCTACGGCCTTGCTGCCTGGAGGGCTAGTATCTGGAGGTCGTGCCTCTGAGCCACCCCCGATTGAACCAAGGTGCGTCCGCCTGAGCTAGTGACAGCCAGTCCACAGGTTGGGCAGAAACCTCTGTCTCTGTGGCCTCACAAGACAGAAAAGATAAATTAGCTCCATGAAATCAGGATTTGACGTCCAGAGATCTGGAGAAAGAATGATTAAAAACTCTGGAACTGTAAAGTCATGTTGTTTGGGGCGGCTATTGTTGGTGATGCATGACTCAAATTAGGAGAGTGTGGAACAGAAGTGCAGAGGTGGGCAGAGACCCCACCCCAAGCGCCTAACAGAGCCGCTCCAGTAGCTGATCACTTGCCTTCCCAAGTCCTCCTCCCAAGTCTTGGGGCGCTTAGCTGACTTAGGTTCCTGTCCTTGGATTTCTGTGACATTAGCCACACACACACTTTTTTTTTTTTTTTTTTGAGGTAATTTAACTTGACTGAGTGAATGTTCCTTGCAACCAAAATAGCACTAAGACAAAAGTGTTCACGGTATAACGTGGAGTGAAAAAAGAATGTAGCGTTGTAATGATGTTGTATTTATAGTTACATAAAATGAAGGACTAAAAGTGAACAGGGGAAATGAAAGAAATTACCGTGTGAGAGTGCTGGAATTCAAAGTGGTTTCCTCCTTTTTTATTTTTGTTGTGGGTGCTTGTAGTAAGGGCCCTAAAACTTTGGACCCTAAAACTTCCTTCTAGTTCAGCCTGACCCTCTGGCAAGTCTAGCACCAATGGCAAGAAATAGGCTTCTTCTTCCAGTAACTACTTCAGACTTTGAGGCCTTTCTGGACTCCCATCCCACTGTAATCCCATACATTTGAGATGATGGCTTGTTGTGTGAATATAGGGTATGTTATTAAAGCAATCTTTATTTACTATTAACAAGGTCCTCTGTTTATTTCTAGGAGACATGGAGGAGGATATCAAGTAATTTAGAAAGTTCGTATTTGCACAGTTGTCTACACATTTTGTAATTTTATAAGATTTCCCCAAAAATGCAATCACTGTCACCATGATAATTATAAGAAACTATTAAAATTTTAAAATATTTTGTTAAATATGGTCAACTTTTCTGCTAAAATCAGTTTTTTGACTGAATACCAAATATTAAATGAAAATAGACTCATCAAGAGTTATCAAACATTTTCCAGCAAAATGAGGTGATCTGAATGGGCTGACATGCTAAGAGGTCCCATGGTGGGAAGTGCACTGGGATGGGATCTAGCACTGACCCCAGCCCCAGGTGTGTTAGCGGCTTACTCTAGCAGACCTCCTCCCCCCGTCAGGCTTGTCTCCTCACCTGCCTGTCACTGAAAGAGCTGACCTAGATGAGGTATCTCCAAGGACTCTTACAGGTCAAATGTTTATAGTTCTATAGTTTTGGACATGGTTAATAAAGAGCAATTTTTTGCTAAGAAGGAGAAAGTGCCGGGACGCCTGGGCGACTGAGTCAGTTAAGCGTCATTAAACGTAGGACTTCAGCTCAGGTCATGATCTCACAGCCCCCGTGAGTTCGAGCCCCGCGTCGGGCTCTGTGCTGACAGCTCAGAGCCTGGAACCAGCTTCGGATTCTGTGTCTCCCTCTCTTTCTGCCCCTCCCCTGCTTGCACTTGGTCTCTCTCTCCCAAAAATGAATAAACATTAAAAAAAAAAATTAAAAACAAAAAAAAAAAAAAAAAGAAAGAGAAAGTACCCGTATCTTTATAGGGAAAATGAGCCATAAACTTAAAAGACCAACTCTTGGCATTGTTTTGTGTCTTCTAATCCTTATCAGTGTACACGCGGGCACACACATACACACTTTGCCCTGTTTTTTAATCAATACACATGTCTTTTTTCATGCTGTACGTTATTTGGATGCATAAAATGTTCAGTACATATTTTATTACTCTTATAACATGTTACATTCTATAAATGCATTGGATGTATGACATTTAACTCTCCTGAATTTTCCTGGACTGCCAATTATAATTCAAATATAAAATGTCAGCCTTCAGCCGACACTTCAGCACGTTCAGTGCACCCAGAGATGCAGGCAAAGCAGCAGCTCACTGAATTATAAAGTGACTCTCTCAGTGAGCACGGTTCGAAGGGGACTTGAGGAAAGTGTTATCAAAGGCCAATCCTTGATACACATGGTCAACCATGCAGACCTTTATTCCAAATCTCTTGACCTCAGGTGCTGAAGCCCTCCCGATGCCTCCGGACACCTGCAGAGTGGCAGGTGCTCACTTCTGCTTAGAGACTTCAAGTGCTGCCTGATTGCGGTCTCCTGGCTGACACCTCAGGCCTCCCCTCCCGTGGCCCTTCCAGCCCAGTTTCCCTGCCCCTCCTCCCTTTGCTCCTCAGGCTCCCAGTCCACTGGTCTCAACCGAGGCATGCCACAGTTACCCGAGAGATTAGATCAGCTTCTAGGGAAGACATCCCAGAACGGGGAGAGAGCGGGCAGAAGAGGGCAAAGATTGCAGAAAGTCCCCGCAGGAAATTCAGATTTGCTTTCATGCCTCAAACGGGACCTGCTGCTTTGTCAAACAGAACCGACTAGCTACCACTAGCTGTGTTTCTCAGGCCCACACCAGTCCCCTTATTGAAATCTCCTGCTGTCAAAATCCAACCCACCAAGTGTACATTGGCACTTTTACTGGCAATATCTAGCGTGACTGAGGATGATACAACCTTTCACCTAGTAATTCTATTCTCTGGTAACTATTCTAGAAACACTCCTACACATGAGCAGAAGAAGGCCTGTGCAAAGATCTTCATTGTATCACTGCCTGAAAGACTGAAAAACTATAAACAACCGAAATATCCATCAACAGAAGAATTGATTTTATTTTTTTAATGGGCTTTGATCATTTTATCTTGTTTTTTAATGTTTATTTATTTTTGAGAGAGAGAGAGAGAGACAGAGTGCAAGGAGAGGAGGGGCAGAGAGAGAGAGACAGACACAGAATCCGAAGCAGGCTCCAGGCTCTGAGCTGTCAGCACAGAGCCCATTGTGGGTCTGGGACCCACAGACCTCTAGATCATGACCTGAGCTGAAGTCAGATGCTTAACTGAGCCACCCAAGTGCTCCCAGAAGAATTGATTTTAAAATTGAGATGTATGCGTGCACACACACACACAAACATACACACACACACACACACACACACACACACACACAATGGAATACTATGCAACAGTAAAAATGAACTAGAGCAACGTGTCATTATATATAATTTATAATACATATTTACACATATAAACAAAGGATATGCAGAAGTATAAAAGCAAAATGTGGAAGGATACAGGAGAATACGATACACAAAATGACATTACTTCAGAATACATACATATCTAATAAAAGTATGAAATTCAGAGAATTATAAATGCCAAATTCAAAGTCTTAGTTACCTCCTAAGGTAGAAGGAGTGGGTTGCAGGTGGGTAGGGAAACACCAGTAGCTTCCACTGCATTGGTAATTGTATTAATTTTCTGTGGCTGCTGTAAGAAATTATTTCAAATTTGGTGACTTATAACAACCAAAATTTATTTCCTCACAGTTCTGAAGGCCTAAAGTCCAAAATCGAGATCACTGAGCCAGAATGAAGGTGTAGGCAGGGCCATGCTCCTTCTAGAGGCTCTAGAAGAAAATCTCTTCCTTACCTTTTCCAGCTTCTGGTGGCTGCTGGCATTCCTTGGTTTGTGGCCACACCACTCCAGTCTTCAAATCTCTTCCTGCTCCGTCTTCACAGGGCCTTAGTGTGTGTGTGTGTGTGTGTGTGTGTGTGTGTGTGTGTGTGTGTAATCTCCCTCTGCCACCTCCCTTATAAGGACACTTGTGATGACATTTGGAACCCATTCAGATGATCCAGGATAATCTCCTCATCCAAGATTCTTAATTTAATCACATCTGCAAAGACCTTTTCTCCAAATTTAACATTTATAGGTTTTAGGGATTAGGAGCTGATATCTTTGGGAGGGAAGGCATTGCTAGCCTACCACAATAATGTTTTATTTCTTCACGGAAATCTTTAGTAAAAGGCGAAAGATTTATACGATTTGAAGAGAAAACAGAGTATAATAATGTTTTATTTCTTAAGCTGAATGGTGGAGATAGCAAACGTAGACTGATGGACTTCTACCTTGAATTCCATTTATCTGTGTCTTACATCAGACAGAGACTGTGAACCAGTCATGGCAGGAGAGGTCTCCAGGAGGCCAGAGAGCAATGTAATGGGAGTAATGCAGTGGGCGGGTCAGAAGACTAGGAGTTATGCTGTAAGAGTAGAGTGTATGAATTTGTCATTTCAGAGGTGTGGTAATTCTGGATAGGGCACCTATAAACTGACTCTTGTTATGTATAGAATTTTTTGTGAGCCCCTTTTAAGATGTTAAATTATAACATTTAAAGAGTGGCTACCTCCTCCAAAAAATTGAGAAAACTGAAGACTAAAGCCAAATAAAAACCTTTCGAAACTGAGTGGATTGGATGCTAACTTGTAGCGGTAAAATTTCAAGCATTGAGGACAGGTCAGGGCAGAAAATTTCCCTATTACATAGGCAGCCACCAGCTCCACCTGCTTTTTATCCAAGCCTTCTGTTTCCAGCTGTTTCCAGGTCAAACAAGAAGCCAATGCTCTGAGTCAGCTCTATTCCCAGGAGATGACAAATGGGCTCAGAAGCTCGTTGGCCAACGTGAGCAGAGCTAAAGGAAGCGGGTGGTCACTCTTTTCTCAGCACAGTTCAGCTGTGACTAAGCAGGTGTTTCTTCTTTGCCTGCAGCCTGGTCTGAGCAGGACTAATGAAGCCAGAACATGCACCACAGAGTCAGAGGGCTCCCTGCATCCTCCCTCCCCAAATGAGGGAGCAGTTGGTGTGAAAATTGGTAAAGGAAACCCAATTAGAATGGAGTTAGGAGGTCAGCGCGGGGAGCTCTCAGGGGCTACCACCCCTCAATTGCAGACCCAACAGGAAGAGACATCTTGCACAATGGTACTACTTTACTATCCCAGCAAAAGGAGGAAAGTTTTTACTCCTCCTCTGGCAACAGCCCAGCCAATGAGAGACTATCACTGTTCAGCCAATGAAAAGCCACTATACTGCAAATGCCCAGTTTACGCCAATGGACTTTTTAATTTATAACAGCCCTCCTAACTTCCTCCTTTCCTCTATAGAAGAGTGTTCCTCTCCAGAGCACCTGGGTGGCTCAGTCAGTTAAGCATCTGACTTCAGCTCAGGTCATAGTCTCACGTCTGTGGGTTCCAGCCCCACATCAGGCTCTGTGCTGACAGCTCAGAAACTAGAGCCTGCTTCAGATTCTGTGTCTCCATCCCTCTCTGCCCCTACTCACCCCCTCTCTCTGTCTCTGAAAAATGAATAAACCTAAAAAAAAATGTTCCTCTCCTTTGTTCTCAGGACTTACCTATGGTTTTGCCCTGGGGGCTTGTCCCGAATTGTGATTCATTGTCATTCCCAAATAAACCTGCTTTTGCTGGTAAAATAACTGGCAGTTTTATTTTTAAGCTTAATACTGGTAATGGCCAGGACCAACTCTACTGGAGGATGCCATGGAAATCTAAAAATTGAGGCTGACATCTGTGTTATTCTGCTTAAGGGCATTTTGTACATTTTGCACAAAATGTGCTGTGGGAAACAGTCTAAATGGGTCATTTTTGCACTTACAGATTGCTGACATGAATAACCTCTCTACCTTGTCAGGCCGAGAAGCTGAAGTTTGGCATTTCATTTGTCAAGTCTCACTCAGATGGCATCTCTACAAGCATCTACCTGAAAGTGATTAGCCCCATTACCTTCAATCCCATAACCCTTTCTATTTCTTTCTTAACCACTTTTCACAATCTGCAATTATCTTGTTTACTTACTTGCTTATGTATTTATTGTCCATCTTTCTCATTGGAATGTAGGCTTTCTGAAGTCAAGAGCCCTGCTTTTTTGTATATCTTATATTCTCAGAGGTTAGGACAGTACCTGACAGTATACAATAATCCTTTAAGTTTATTTTATTTTGAGAGAGAACGTGCACACACACACACACACACACACACACACAGTCATGAGTGTGGAAGGGGCAGCAAAAGAGGGAGAGAGAGAACCCCAATCAGGCTCTGAGCTCGATCTCACAAACCATGAGATCATGACCTGAGCAGAAATCAAGAGTCAGACGCCCAACCAACTGAACCACACAGGTGCCCCATAGTATACAATACATTTTTACTGAATGAATGAACGAATGAATGAACAAATGAATGGATTTGAATGAATAAATGCCCCAGGGCTCAAAAAGAATCAGTCATGGAAGTGATAATAGAACCCAAATTAATACAAATATCCCATATTCATGGGCTTCAGCATATTCAGCTAAGATTACTTCCCAATTTACGATTTCTGCTGTGTTCCCACAATATACTGCTGTATGCACATTCATATGTACTTTTGCACATATGAAGTCCAGAAAGTGAAATGACTTGAATAAAACTATGCCACTAGTTATAGTTATGACTTGGACACTACTTTCTATCAGAGAAGTAATTTACTCATAGGATGCCTTGGGAGTTTTGCTTCTTTCCCCACAAATAAAACAACAAAACACCTCCTATGCGTGTACCATAGTTTTTTGGTTCATGAAGGCATGGTACAAAGTGAGCGTTGCATTTGGCAAGTCAACAACTACTACATAGGAGGTTATATCCAAGGAATAATTATCAAGGAAACAACTTTGGCTAGGCTTGATGATACTCTATATCATTACAGATGAGTAAGAAGAGGACTCCCCAGGGCTCTCAGGTACATGAGATGACCAACATGGAATTCTTGGATTCAAACTCTGGCTATTGTTAGCATTAGGGATATTATTTCGCATATTTAAGGGGCAACTCTACTAGGAATCAAGGCACTGACTGATTTCAGGAGACCTTTCCAGCATCTGGGTCCATCTGGGCAAGGACAGCACAGGAAGCATGAAAAATAGGAGCTCCTAACACCCACTCCCCCTCCTCCCAAGAGACTACACTGCCCCTTCTTGATTTGAAGGGTGAAAACTGATTGCAGGTACTTAATACATTGATTGAGAAACATTAGTAATTTTTTAATGAGTCTGAATGTTTTCTTTGTGTCTAGTTCTCATTTTCTCTTTGCATGTTACAGAAAATGCACCCCAGTTCTTTCATTCATCCCTTCTGTCTTGCTGCTCCTTGAAAACATTGCCCATTCTGAAATCTGTTTTTAATTATAATAGAAAAGTATAGCTTTCATTGAAAGGAGATAGAATTTCAAATAATTTCGATTTCTTTTTTTAAGTTTATTTATTTGGGGGGGAGGGCAAAAAAGAAAGGGAGAAAGAGAATCCCAAGTAGGCTCTGTGCTAATAGTGGGACTTGATCTCACCAACGGTGAGATTATGACCTGAGCCCAAATCAAGAGTCAGATGCTTATTCGACTGAGCCACTGAGCACTCCTCAAATCATTTCAATTTCAAACCATTTCAATTTCAATAATTTCAAACAAACAAAAAGCCTGAGGTACTGTATCTCCTGCTAACCGACAACGAAAGAATTACCCACTGTAAGGAAGACTCTATGAAAATGAGAGATTTACCAACGAATAGCCTATCTTTGAGAATCATTCTTGGCACTCAAACAAAGCTCATGATTAACTGATATTATTCATTATAATTAATAGTACTGTAGTGACCACTTCTACCACCATCTTAAAGAAAGGCATCTCCTTTAAAGCCCAAAGAGCAACCAATAGATGACTCCCTAAGAGATGATTTTTAGTACAGAAGGACGGTACCCTAAATGTTAAACACAACACTAAAAAAAAAAAAAAAAAATCACAAAGCAAAGCAATTTTAAATTAAGCATAATTATTATTTCAGAATAATATTCAGGTGGTGGAGCAACTTTCTAAAAACTGAATCCCCAGAATGTGCCAGAAAACATTACATTAAGCCACCGAATTCAATAATGGTCAAGACATAGTATGGTCGTTTTCTGCCTGAGGGACAGAGATTGGTAGCCTATGCAATGTTTTCAGTTAACTGCTCTGAGGACTGGTTTGACTCATTATTTGAATCATGCCTGAGAACTCCAATGGCTCACATACTAGCTGTGGCAGGAAGGCAGCTCTTATTCTTAGAATTACTGCCTGCAAAGATAAATCCAGTGTGTCCCTCTAAATTATTGACCTAAATTATCTCCTTGACTCTTTGCTGTTCGTTGGCCAGCCTCATCTCCTACTAAATGGTGAGGGCCTTCAGGGCAGGAACCCTGTCATTCATTTTTGCATCCCCCGCTTCCAGCACAGAGGCATGAAGTTAACACGTGACTGATTGGGTGTGGAGCACGGCTCCAAAGTCAATCCTCTTTTGAGACCTTTTTCTTTTATCTTTTCTAGTGTTTGTTCCCATATTTTTGGCATTTTAAAGACTTTAAAAAAATATTTTGACTAAAAGCAACTCAGATTTTGTGGTTCAAATTAGCTCCTAACAGACTTATAACATCTTATGAATGATGGTATTGCTAGGTCCCTTTTAACTTATTTTTCTTGTATTTACTAGGATAGTATAATCAAGATCTCAAAATCACTATAAAATATACTGGATTCTGAAATGTTCATTATGCATACTAATTTTTACCAAATATTATGGGTGACAGAATGCAAGCTTTTTCAAGCATTTACAGTTGGGATCCACCTACAGACACCTACACCTGCAGTCTTCAGAGTCTCCGTATCTCCATATCTCATCCACAGCAATGATTCCAGATGCTTGCTGATTGCTCCATCCCTACCCCACTCAGGCTTTGCTGCTCAACCTCCATCATGGGCAATCACAAATACTACCCCTTTAAGGGAAGTGCCCTAGAGTCCACATCTAATGTCTGTGGAAATCCAGCAACTCCATCAAGAAAAAGCAAACTGGGGGCGCCTGGGTGGCGCAGTCGGTTAAGCGTCCGACTTCAGCCAGGTCACGATCTCACGCTCTGTGAGTTCGAGCCCCGCGTCGGGCTCTGGGCTGATGGCGCAGAGCCTGGAGCCTGTTTCCGATTCTGTGTCTCCC